CTTTCTCTATAGTATGATAGTCTCAGTCCAACACTTGGCACCATCTGGTCGTGACTACCTTAAGAGGAGTACGAAGTGAGGTCTGGATCTTGTATCCCAAACTTGCCGAATATGATGAAAGGGGTAGGTCTTCACCCTCTGGGCCTTTCCCTTTCCAGCCCCACAGTTTAGGGTGTAAACGGAGGCTAGAGATCGGATGACCGTACGAAAAAACCTGGCAGGACCAGTTTCCCTCCTCATCGCAGGATTCCCACACCCAAATTTGAGCCAGACCAGCTTCAGCCATGAATATCCAATGGGCTTCCTCAGGGGAGCAAATCACCTGTGTAATCCATCGAACCATCATAGCGAGGCTCTTACGGTGAGGATCAATCATTCGTCATCTGTGGCATGTTTTTTTTTTTTTTTTTTTTTTTTTTTTTTTTTTTTTTTTTTTTTTATGGCAGTTTTTCTAAGTGTGTACCAGCTAACTCCTGATGTACGGATCTATAACCTTTATGGCTGGTGATGCTGCCGAAATGAGAAGTTTCTGTCAGACTGCGGACACTTTATTCCGCAGAGTAGCTCCAGATGGCCATCCCGATCTCAATCCACCCTTCTTTCCCCATCCCCCATATCTCCACCACGCACCTCCCTTACGACCCCCCGAGAGAGAAGATTGGGAGAAATCGGTGACTGTAGATCCGCATGTGCATCCTCATTCCCCTCATTCTGCATCCTGATCTCCCCCTTTTGTAGCTTGACCACGCTTGCCCTCGCTCGTGACAGATCCCGCTCTTCCAGCACCACACACACACACACACACACACACACACACACATAGATAGATAGATAGATAGATAGATAGATAGATAGATAGATAGATAGATAGATAGATAGATAGATAGAGAGAGAGAGAGAGAGAGAGAGATCCATGTCCTTCGTGACAGATCATGAGACACGAACAGTAGACACGGGAAACGTTAGCATCATGCCATGTGACTCATCACGATCTCGAGGGTGAGATCGAGCTCAAGCCAGGATCAACGCTGAGATGGAGGTCGGGATCGAGGTGGAGGTCGAGATTGAGATCGATAAGCGATCATCAACGTGGGGGAGCCCATCATCCAGCCCGGTCACTGATGACGATCAAGATCGCCATCTTCGGTGGACATCAAGGTTTGAGATCGAGATCAACGTAGAGATGGAGGTCGGGAACAAAATCAAGAAAGAGGAGCAAAAGGAGGACATGGACGACAGTGAGGAAGAAAGGAGATGGGGAGAAGGATGAGAGAAGGGAGGGAGGAATCATTGATGTAAGTAGACAAGAATGTAAGCAGACATGGGAAGAGGGAGGGAGGAGGGGTGAGGAGGGAAGGACATGGATGTAAGTAGACAAGGCAAGGATGGGAATGAAATAAGAATCATTGTTGGCATCCATAGAGCAAGAGCAGTAGGGAGGAGAGGAGGGAGGAGGGAGGAGGGAGGAAGGCAAGAAGACACTGCCTGAAGAGGAAAAAAACACAACATATGACAGGAGGGAGAGGGGGAGGGGGAGGAGAATTGAAACGAGAGAAGGAGAAGGGAAAAAAATATTGTAGAAAACAAACAACAATTCAACGCCACATATAAAATGTCAGGGATTGGAAACTGCAACGTTGCAAACGGATACAAATTACTGGGTAAATTAATAACAGATTAGAAACGGATTTAAAATTACGCTACGAGTTCAGATTAAAAAAACAAGATTACGAAAGGAATGAAAATTATAAATGAATTTAACGGGATTAGAAAAAAACAGATAACGAATACATTGGAAACGTTTTTTTCCCTTTTTTTTTAATCTGTTGGTAATTTTATTTATTGTTGAATTGACCAGTCACAGGTAATTCAGATTGATTGGATTTCGGTCGTCTTATTGTATCTGGATTCGAACATGGATCTGCATTTATGCTGCGACGGTAGAAAGAGATTTCAAGGTTCGACCTACGAGATTATAATAACGGATTTCGAATGGCGTGATTAATAAGAACCGATTTACTTTCTTTCCCCAAAAAAAATGGAGAGAGGCAACAATAAAAAAGGGAACAAGATGACAACGCATGTCTCAAAAAAAAGAAGACGACGATGACGAGGAAGAACAACAACAAGAAGAAGAAGGTAGAAAAGAAGAAGGTAGAAAAGAAGAAGAAGATAAACGTTCCACTCGCCTTGAGTCCCAAGCTTCCTCTATCACAACGAGACGATGAGTCCCCCGCTTTTCTCCTCTCTTTCCTGTCTTCACTGCACTCTCGCAAAGTTTTATCTTTGCTTCTACACACCTTCCGTCAACCAAGCTTTTCGCTCCCCTTTGTCTGCTTGGACACCGTCGCTGCCCTCCGTCTGCTTGAACACCGTGTAGGGAACTCCTGTCTTCGCTTCTGCACACCCTTCGTCCGCTTAAGCTTTTGGCAGCCCATCCCTGTCTCCTCTCACTACGAGTCGTCACGGCACTGCAAAACTGCCCGACAGGGCCGACACCTATCACTCACAAATTGCTTGTGCATCTTCAACGGCAGGGACCGCTTCTTATATATAACACGAGCACCGTCTCATGAGGGATAATCGGTAGAAGGCGCCCACGCCAAAACCTTTTCGGTTTTGGCCGCCCAAAGCTTAGCCGTTTGGTACTACCGGCCCAACGACTTGCATGTGGGGTACTACAGGCCCACGCGTCGCTCCAAGTGCCCTACCGGATCATGAATCTGGCGCATAAAGAGCGCCAGGTTCATTTTCATGTAAAAGAGGCCGGGCGTGGCAACTCTGAAGTATCGAATGAGGCCCACGTACGCGATTTTGAAAAAGAAGGGCCCTACCGGTTCATGAATCTGGCGCAGAAACAGCGCCAAATTCTTGAACCGGTGAAAACAGGCCCAAGGAGATGTGGCCACGGCGCGAAGGCACCTTTCACCAAGGGGAACGTTGTTTGGGCGGGTAGTACCAAACGGCCGAACTTCAGGCGGCCAAAACCGAAAAGGTTTTGGTGTGGGCTCTTTCTACCAATTATCCCGTCTGATGACCCAAGATTGACTCCGATCCGCTGATCCCGCCGGCCAGCACACATCTCCAAATGACTGACAACAACAGCACCATCCCGCCCCCTCAACGCACTGGCCCACCTACCGCACAACGGCACTCCTACCGATAGCTCCCCCTCCACGCCCGCCATTGTCATGTCAGCGCCTGCATGCAATAGCTTTCCCTGACTGACAACAATACCGCCATCTCCCCTCCCCACACACTGCCCCGCCTACCACACGACCGCACTCCCACCGATAGCTCCCCCTCCACGCCCCCCATTCTGAATGAATGATGGCTTCCGCTCCATCTCCATCGCTGCCCGCCAGGCATCCACAACCGGCCTGACCAGCCCCCCCGGTAAGAAACCCCACAGCACACTGACCTGTTCCTGCGCGAAAAAACCCCTCTCCGGGCCGCCCTGTCCCCTCGACATTTGACGAATCCCAACACGTTTCCGTGTGCCCATGCATGCGGACACCTTTCCGCGCACCCGTACACCCTACACAACAAACCCCTCGATAGCTGACGATTAACACCCTCTTCCCCAATCGTAACCGCTCCACGGGAAAAAGAACCAAACCCAACCGCTCCACGTACGAAAAACAAAAACCAAACGACGTCCCTATTGCTCCCTACCCGACCTGTATCTACAACAACGTCAGGCCTACATTCACTGCGATGCAAAATGCGAAATAAGCCACCTCTTCCACGCCACTTGCATTCATGTCGCTGGCCACGTCCCCTCAACCGCAGAAAAAACCAAAAAAAACAAATAAACAAATTGCAGCCTACCCCCTCTCCTCCGGTCCTTCCTGACTTACCTCCTATTTGTTCACCCTTCCTCCCAAAGAGGAAGCAGCACACCAAAGACCTCCATGCGCTACAATAGGTTGCCCGCTCCTAAAGCTGACCCGCTACTGGTCTTAGACTTGCCACCGACCGCACCCTTCCCTTTTTCATTTCCACACCCCGGAATACCCCCAATTGACGACGTTGCCGGAAATGGAAACTGCCACAAAAAGACAAAAGACGCAGCCTTTTGTTGACTGCGAAATTATGACAATAAAAAAAGGCCTGAAAGGCCTTCCTGTCTTGATTCGACAGGTAATTGAATTGTTTGGGCTTAAACCACTAGTACCTCGCCCAGTGTTGGGAAATTAGGGAAAACTGGCAGTTTCCCCAAACTCCTGAAAAAAAAAGTGAAAAAAAAGTGAAGCAATACGAGTGGTCGTGCAGCACGTGACACAGATATGACGGTCAATACGAACAAGTCAAACCGTCGAAAGTTCGAGTCCCACCGATACTGTATACCCAGTCAACGAATCCGACCGATAGTCTTCATGGTAGTTTCCATATGTCTTTTACAATTACAGCTAGAGCCAACAGTATGCCCAACAGCAGAGTGAACTGCAGTCCCAGGGTGAGGACCCGTCATCTTTCTGCTCAATGGGCCTTTGCTCCACTACTGTAACACAGAATCGTACATGTATCTGGATTTAGGCAACAAGCATTTGGACCGATCCAACATTTTGAACCTATCGGGACCATTTAGAAGTTAGAAGGTTGTGTGGTTTAGGGAGGCCTCATCTCTCGTCCAGTCTGCACAAGGAGTCGAGTGCCTCTGGCGAGGACCCCGAAATTGCGGCGGGGGAAACCACAATAACCCAATGATCCCAATCCCAATCAGATTCACCGGCGGTTTACGACTTCAAGTTTATGAGAAGTGAAATGAGAAAAAAAAGGAAAAGAAAAAAGAGAAAAAAAAGAAAAAAAAAAAAAGAAACGGCAACTGCCGCAAACCTGATGCGCACTAAGGTTTTCGGGCGCTGGGAATCTACTACGCCCAAATTTATTCGTGCACGCCCCTCAATATAGGGAAGAGGTACTGCGCTCCTCCTCAAAACGTAGAAGGATGGTGGACGATATTCCAGAACTTCGTTCCACTGATGTGGCTGCTGGCGGAGGGATGAGGTTCAAATGAAGCGGGCGTTCCTGTTTTACGGTCGTCGCTGATGCGGTGAGGTCTCCTCTCTTGATACCCGATCACTGCTGTCAGTCTTTCCTCTTTCTCTCTCTCTCTCTCTCTCTCTCTCTCTCTCTCTCTCTCTCTCTCTCTCTCTCTCTCTCTC